ATGGTTAGACGGTAATATATTGACTGCAGGAAGGCCGTGGTGTACTGGATTCAGATCAGTAAAAGAGACCTCCAAGGAAATTGGGCCACGTACAGCCGGTAGAAATGCCCATCCCACTAGGGACAACCCTTGGGATACCACGCCGTCAGCCATGTCAATTGGTGAAGAGAGTCAAACAACGGCGACAGCAATCCTTCGGAGGCTGTGACATTTCTGAGGCGGAAGAAGGGTGTTCAGCAGTTATGCAGAGGGAGAAGGGCCCATTTCGAATCAGTGACTTCAGTGATTTCAGGGTGGCAGATGTAGCCGCGCAGGAGACGATGGGAAGTTGAATTCCATGAAGCGCCGACTGGCTCGGTTCGGCATACCGCAATTTGTCGCACTCGTGCTGTTTGAGCCCTCCTACATACTACAGCTACCATAGAAATTCCTCAATATCTAGCCTTATACGCCACTCACTGGAGGCCCCTCACATGATGCAGCTTATTATGTTCAAAGACAGCAAAAGAGAGGGATAGGAGACAGCTTCTCGATTCAATGACCCAATCCCTAAAGCTCCGTACTCGGTTCATTGTGAAACCAGAAATAAGCAAACAAAATATCAACGCCTCCCCCTCCTTATCATACATTCCTCGTAGCGCGCGCCAACCCAGTAACCGCCGACTGATTCTAGATTTCCCTCAATGCCATATATATGTATATCCAGATCATGGCGGCCTCCGGCCGAAGATCGACACCTCTCAGCACCTTCACAACGACATCTCTGAGGTGAGGTCGGTGCCCTCATTGGGTTCATCATCAATACTCCAGATCTCTGCTTCTTCCGATCCTCCGGCGTCCGTGTCTGTACTTTCGAAGTCCTTCCGCGTCAGTCCGCTCCTGAGTTCTCTCTGCCACTGCCAGATGTCGTCGTTGGGTCTGAGGTTGATTAAATGGAAGGGGTCGAGCGTTGTCGAGCCGGCAAGCCAATACGCTATCCGGCTTGCTTGTTCTGAAACATCTCCCCACTGCAATGTCGAAAGCTGCCCGAGTCGCATAATACCAGCTGCCTGGTCCAAGGGACGATGAGCTGCTCCAGCAGGCTGTGTCACACCGCCGTCGGCCCGTGCTTGTGGAAGGTTGAAGTCTTGGATGATGTTGCCCGGCTCTGGCGGAGTTGTTCCGTCTAGTCCCATAGCCGACAAGACGTTTTCCAGGTTAACATCTTGATCATCTGAATGTGCTTGCACATCGGGATGTGGGCAACATGATTCGAATTGTTTCCCCACAGAGATCAGGTCAGGGTGACAGGCGCGCTTTTGCCGTTCAATGATGCGACCTTCTTCATCTTGGATGTGGCCGAAACTTTGGACGACATCATGATAGTCGGCCAGGTAACAGAGCGAAGATGGAATATCATTCCTAGCGTCGAGGAGATTGAGCCGGGAAGGAAGAGAAGGATCGAATGAGGGTGCCATGGACGATCTTCGACTGGGCAGCATCAATGACCAATCATTCGGACACTCAACATCCAAAACGCCGACGAAAAACCAGAGAAGACAATGAATGGCTGAAAGGAAAAGAGAACAGGCGGTGGGTTGCTGGTTTCGCTGGCTGGACACTTACTGACTTCGCCTTCGACGTCGACCAGGCTTGCCATAAGGGAGACATGGTTATATTTATATCGATCAGAGTCTGAACCAGAGAGACAGAGCTGGCAATTGTCGCGTATCTTCTAGGTGAGACATCGATGGATGGATTTGGTTCCGTCTCCTCAGGGCTCTCTCTTGCTTCATGGAGGCCAAGATTCGGTCGCAGAGCCCTACGGGACTCTGGTGGGTTCCATTGATTCAAAAACAAACCCGCTGCCACTCATAATCATGCAATCCCCTGCTGCGACGTGGTTAGATTCTTCCCAATCAGCCGCGTCTGCACATGAATCTCATGCCCACTTGCCAGAATGACTACCTGGTATAAGTGTATCGACCCTCAGTCCACTTGGGTCGGAGAACTCTTCAAAATCTTGCTGCCAGCGGATACGAGTCCCGTTAGCATGCAGCTCAACTTCAACATCCATACACGCAGCGTTCCGAGTCAACTTATGCATGGCCAGCAGGTCTGGTGTGGAAGGAGGACTCAAGACCATCAGATCCTCCGGCCAGTTAACTGCGTCACGGCGTGTATGTCCATGCTTCTGCACGGGACTATGTTTCTTTCGGAGCGTCAGATAGTTCTTGCGGGACCCGCGGTGAACTCTAAAGGGCACGCTACGTCGTCAGTGCGAAGGGGAACGACTGCCAGCTCGGTGTGAGCCACCACTTTCTGCTGCTCCGGGGTCTAGTTGGAGAAACTGACAGGGATGCAGCCAAAGGAGCGTCGCTTCTCCTTTCCCCGACAGAAGGAAATACAGTACTAACCAAATTAGTTGCTCCCCTGACGAAAGGGCTGTCCTGGAAGAAATTCTGCATGATTATTCCGTTCTGTAGGTACATGCAGCCATCTGGCAGCTCCACACCCCATCGGAGGATCCGCCGAGCAAGGTCAGGCGAGACTGGTGTGGTCGGTACGCAACAGAGCCTCCCTTTACAATCAAAGAGTGAACAGAAGGCATCGGTAATACCCAAAAAGTACTCATGAACACGTACCAGGATGGCTCGTTTGTATGCCGACACTTCATGTGCTTAGGTACCACCTTCACCTCTGACAGCAGGTCCCTGCTAGGGTTCACACTTTTACACACCGCCGCCACCTATCACTTGATGATCAGCATACCCTGGGAATTTGCCGCGATACCAAGTGCCATGACTCTGAGCACCGAGATCAAGAATTTGGATATCCGACAATCCGCACAGATAGATCCGTCGCATCCGGCCAGCACTTATTGTGCCGTTGTAAAGCCGACAATCATGACCAGTGATCGTGGATCATGATCATAAGGGCATGTCGTCCTTATCAGACTCGCGATGCTTGGGAGGGGGGCGCATCACCGATGCATTGCAACCTGATATTGGAAAATGGTCAAGCTCGACGTGGCTTTGACCATCAGAATCAGCCCTCCTTTCTTCCTTCGCCCAAGTTTGTTCTCGGTATATTGACTGCTAAGCGAGTACAGTGGCACCGCTCGACATTTCAGCCTTATCCCCGTCCAGGTGGATTGCATTGCCTCACGTAGACCATTTCCACGCCCGAGGCCTTCGATGCTGCCCTCATATCTAATCCGCGTCCTGACCAAGTTGATCGCCTAGATGTTGGGGAGTGAAATCCGGTCATACGCATGACAGCGTTGAGTAGCTGGGCCACTAATTGTCCCTACTCCCTTGATGAGCAAAGTAGTCGCTTTTCTGCTTCTGTCCCCCAGAATGATCAGGGCACCATCGCTTGGACCTATGAGAGAGCTGGTATTGCACCAAAGAAAGCTGGCCAACAATGGGATTGTTTGCTGCAACCACAGCAAATCCCATCCCTCCTAAGTGCCTCCTAATCAACATAGAGGTATTAAGGGGCTAAGACACCCGTCTCAACGTCGGTTCTTACCAAAGGCCCTTGCATCAAAGTGCCCGGTTGCCTTCACATCAGCTCGGATTGCATTGCGGGGATTCCCTAGCGCATTGGCTGCCGTAAGAACTCGTCCTTCCTCCAATTACAGTAAACGCAGTTCAAGAGCCGCAGGGTCCTTTCTCCTGAAATATATAGGTAGGCGGCTGCCGGGTTGCCTCATGGCTGGTTCGCATGGTTCGCAGAGTTCGTGCCGACCGCAAGGGCTTTGAGCAAAAAGAAGCGGCGCGCCCATGCAACCCTGCTACCGCTGCTTGGATGGATCAGAACGAACACGAAGTACCACAGAGAGCCCTGCGAGCAAAATAGGCCCATTGATACGATATTTACAGATTCTGCGAAATGTTGTTTGACCAACTTTGTTTTTGGCCTTTTTCACATCTTCTCAAGATTCCCGTCCCCGTTGTGCATAACTTGCGGATGTGAACCCCTTTTGCAATGATCACCCATCGACAAGATCTGACTGACAGTTCGACTCTCAACTCTGTAAATGTAGAAGCACACAGGCGAGTCATTGTCGCCGAGTGTGTTGTTGTCGAGAGTAGCAATATCCGGCTTGAACCTGCACCCAAAGAAGACAGCGGCTCGAAGCATTGGGATGCAGATTTCACGCTCGAATAAAGTGGCTCCCTGTAGCTCGCCTTTGTGGGTAGTTTGCACAGGTGCTTCGAGTCAAATCGAACTAGAGTTTGTGGGCCAAGACTTTATCGGCCCGGGGAAAAGTAAATCCGAATAAAGGGTGGGAAAGGAACTCATTGAACAGCCATCACATTCCGTTCAATCTTCTCGTGTCAGTATCATGTTCTATCGCGTCACCTCTTCGCCGGTTGAAGAGATACAGTACAACTGTAATCTGCTTCCCCAGGGCAAGTCTGACAACGCTCTCTCGCCTTTGCACCATCGAAGAGATGCGCAACAACAACAACAACAACAACAACAACAACAACAACAACAACAACAACAACAACAACAACAACAACAACAACAACAACAACAACAACAACAACA